TACAAACCCATTAAGCCAATTACACAAATAACCCATGGGTCATTACAAACCCATTAAGTCAATTACACAAATAACCCAAGGGTCATTACAAACCCATTAAGTCAATTACACAAATAACCCATGGGCAGAGGCAAACTTAAATGGTCACATTACCTCAAGCTTCTTGGCTTCACCTTCTACAAGAGGAGTTTGCAAGAAATTGCTAATGACCTTCTCCGTACGACTCCCATGTGACAAACTCAATGGGTTTTTTAGTGATTCTTTCATTCTTGTGTTTAAGTCTGTTGCCAGTGGATTTCGGTCATCACCAGATTGGGAAAACAAATTGGGTGTCACTCCAAATCTCATCATCAACTTTGTGGCAGTTTGCTGGAAGGAAGAAAGGTATGGAGTTGGTATAAGATGCAAGCAAAACTATAAGACTTGATATATGATCAAAGCAAGCCACATACAATGAGACTAATTTGTATTTGATGTACAACCCCAGGCTTTATAGCAAGACCTGCATGCAATATTGTTCTGTTTCAATTAAGACCATAAGTGACTAGTATTACTAAATTTTCAACATGAAACATGAATGAATACCAACTCCAAAACCATGGCCGAAACCAACTCCACACCCAATGCCTGCTTCAATGTTTTTCGCTCCCACCATTTTCAACTGAAAAGAATATCATTTCATTACCAATAATAAGCATACATATATATATATAGATATATATATATATATACACACACACACACACACACAGCCTATGGAACTGAATTAGCTTACAGAGTGGTTAACATGCCTTCCAACACCAGAAAAAACATCTGATGCTCCTCTAGCAGCAACCATAACTTGATTTAATACTGGTATTGCACCTGTAATATCCGAAACAATTCATCAATCTGTCCCAAATACAATTCATCAATCTGTCCCAACCAAAATGGTTTACAACTTTTCGATCAATACGTACGGTTTATATTTTAATTCGCACAACAGACAGAAATTGAAGTACATTCTAGGAATTGAAAGAAGAAAACAGTTCTATAACATCACGATCAATCACAAACATTTCAACAATCTGTGATTCAAAACATAAAAAAAATGCATATAATAATTACATACAGGTGGTATCATCATCTTTAGGTTTAAAAATTCCCCCAAATTTCATCTTATTACAAAAACATAGAAGAAATTACCTTACCTAGATTTATAGGCCTTCCAACTCCGATACCAAGACCACATCCGACGCCAAATCCAGTAAACACTTGACCCACCTTGAAAGTAAATGGATTCTGCATCCCTTTTGATACAATTATACTGCCGCTACTACTTTCCATATTCTAGAAACCAGAAGAACGAACCTACTTACTTCAACAAACTTACTATTACTGTTGTTTTTCTGTAAAAATGGCGTCTGCTATGCTAATCGGCACCTGAGGTTTTACGAATTAGAGCGGCGATGGATCAGAGGATGAATGGGACTTTGTATTTACCCCCTTTTTATTTTTATATTACACCCTTATCTATGATATATCGACATTTTTTGTCCTTGGATTTTAACTCCCTTAACTTCATTTATCACTAACGTTTTCTTCATGTTATGTTTTTCTGAATTGTCTGTTGGTTATTTGCTAGAATAAATAAACTCACACACCCTCTTCACTTTTAGTGAGGTTTGAACCTCTGACCTCCTATAAGGTAAAGGACTACGATACCTCTAGGCTAAAAACCCTTTATTATTTGCTCTTTTTATTGTTTGTTATAAGTTTCGATTTTCTACATCCTTGAGCAAATTCCATCAAAGCGTATTTAGACAATTAAAAGGAAAATGTTACTTGCAGTTTAGCAAAGACCAACACTTTTCACACCATTCAATTCTCTAGTTGTGAGATAAATTACAAATAAGCTTAACCATGTTACATTATGGGTTGGGTTTCGATGAGAAGCGTTAGAAGAGATCTTCACCTTTAGATCAATCTTAGTTAAATGTCAACACTAAATGAGTATGTTTGGGGAAGGATCATAAGACATCCTCCTAATCACATTTATCACATAGCATCATCCTCTATCATATAAATTTGACCAAATCTATGAAGATCCTGTAAAAATAAACAGTTAACTATACTAACTATATCAAAAATTGATTGTGTGAATTCTTCTAACTTATCGAATCCTGGTAGGTATATATATTAGGGTTTCTATTGCCAATGTAAGTACCAGTTAAATTTGAAGCTGAAAAGCAGTTAATTACTTGAGAAGAACCAGAGGATGATAGCACAAATTAATAAGAGAAGAGCGATGAGGTGGATAGCAGATCGAATTTGATTTTGTTGTTTGTAAGATTGAGGATTGTGTGTGGGTAATAACACCTCATCATAAATTCTTCTACCAGAGCGTTACATCTGTATAACTTATTTCTTGACTTTAAATTACTTGTTTCTATTTACATATTAAAAAAAATAACATGACCCAACCAAAACCATAAAAGTTTAGGATAAAAAGAAGACATAAAAATCGCACACAATCTGATGTATTCATGAGGTTGTGTGAACCAAAAGAAAAGAAATAGTTGCTTTCAAAATTGATTGATATACCAAATGTCTTACTTTTGATTAATCTGTTACTGGTAAAATAATAGAATTAGATTGATACAACACAATAAAAAAGTAACATTGAATAAAAACCATTTATTACTTGCTTCAAAGCAGACTTACGAAGCAACCTCATCGATGGAATCCCCCCTCGTCTCCATATGACATCTTATCTATACTATATTATAAAGTATTTGACAAAAACTCTTAAAAACCACTTTTATGCGTAAAGTACTGTTTATTAATGCATATTTCTTAAAACTCAATATTACAAGTAGATTGTGCGTAAGTACAACTTATTAAAGCTCAATATCTAAATTCGTGTAACTAACTGCAGATAAACATCTCATTTTAAATATAAAAAATTTAAAATATAATTAAGATAATCATTGAGTTCTAACAGAATATTTAATTATTATATTTATAAAATGTTATATTATTAAACAAAAAATAAATTATTTCATTATTAAAACTCAAATAAGTTATAATAAAAAAATTTAAAGAAATTACATAAAAAATGAGAACTTTTAAATAGTTGATATATATATATATATATATTCAAAAATTTATAATATTTTCGAACTTATATTTTATTCAAAAATAAAACCATTATTGCTTTCTTAAAAACACATAAAATCGTATTATAACATCGACATAAACAAATAAGAAAATAGAACATTAAAATCGAGATGTATTTTGCTGTATTACGTGAGTATTCTTCTGGTATAAACAAATTGAAAAACCAACCATCTTAAAATTAATAGGTATCTATGCATGTGGTCATCTAAAAAGGGATCACCATTCAATTGTAATTACAGTTCTCCTTTCAACAGTAGTATATATGACATAGGGATCATCAGTGTACTATATAAAGTATGAAGTTGCAAGAATCAGAGGTATCAAGAGAAGGGCGATTTGCATTTCTTATATGAACATCAATTGGATCTCGAACAACCTTTAGTGGCTTACCTACTTTAGTGGATCTCGAACCTATTTTTTAAAATCTTTTGATATATATTTTCTTATGTTTTTTCTTTTTGCTTAAATTTTAGTATATAAATAAACACTGATGTATTAGAACATTCTCAACAACTATATTAAATTAAAGATTTTTTTAAAGATTAAAAAAGATACCACGATATAAGTGTCAAAATAAAAAAAAAGTACAATTTTTATTTTTCTGGTATAACTTGTATTGTAATTTAAATATTTTAGATTTAATAGTAAAAGGTAATGTATATTTGTAGCATAGTTTTGTTTAGAAGTAGTGATGAACAAATCGGCCCGGTCTGGTCGGGGACCGTCGGAGGATCGGGACCTAGACCACTAAGGACCGGTTATGGGACCGAAAACCGGGACCTGTTGGGGTTTTTGGTAGTTTCGTGGGACCGGGACCGGTTATGGGACCGAAAACCGAAACCTGTTGAGGTTTTTAGTAGTTTCGTGGGACCGGGACCGGTTATGGGACGGAAACCGGGACCTGTTGAGGTTTTTAGTAGTTTCGTGGGACCGGGACCGGTTATAGGACCGGCTAGGCCTGGTCCGAAAATTCATTAAATTTTACAAGTAAATGTATTTTAAATAATTTTATAATGTATTTTTATAAGACAATGTAATTTTAATTACATTAAAAACGTATTTTTAAAGTGTATTTGAGTGATAAAATTATAAATTTTTTAATGTATTAAAAATATATATCATTAAAAAAATATCTTATTTTTTAATGCCGGGACCGGCGGCCCATGACCGGTTATGAAATACCTTGACCGATCCTATCATTTTCAACCGAGACCGGTTATGGCTGATTATGAAAAAGTTTGAGACCGATTAAGCTTGACCCATGACTGGTTTTTGGCCATCACAGTTTAGAAGTATAAAATAAAATAAGCATATTGGCATTTATTGAATTGAATCAGTATTTTGGGCTATTGTTTGGGTTGGGCTTTGAGCAATCCATCTATCTTTGAAATTCTCCCGCCAAAATGGATGCCCGGGTTTTCTTTCCAAAATTTCAGAATCCTCTATTCCTTGTTCATTCATCACAATTCACAAAGCACTCAAAATCCAACAGAAGAGATGATTCTCATTGCCGATGCAGTTGCAAGTTTGGAGGAATCAGGTGAATCCGCTGTTAACTTTCTCCTCCTCCTCCTCCTCCTTCTCTATGGAATCTGATTAGTCAAGTTCCCCTGCAGAAAATTCAACTAGCTTCCTTCAACAACACGATTCTGATTGTCAGGTATCACAGAAGCTTAATTAGGGTTTTATCCTTGAGTAAATATTTGATAACATCATACTCGTCTAGCTTAATTAGGCTTTTATCCTTAGCTTTCTAACCTAAAAGCTTAAGACAACCTATAATACTTCTACTCATACTCGTCTAGCTTCTTCATGGGTTCAACATACCAGTCTGTGTTTCTTTCTAGTCGCTCTTCACAAAAAAACAAGTCACTTTTTCTCAACTTCAATGTGATAATAGCCATGTTAATCTAAAGTAACATATAAAATAACATAATACTTTCAATTTGAAGTATTAAGCTGCCACACCCATAACATGATTAGGCTCCATGATTTGTATTTGCTTCGACTTATATCATGTATGCTTATTGTTCTTTTTTTGTTGCTTGTGTGCTGTTGTTGTTATGCACGTCTAATTTGGAAGTTGGAAGGGATAAAGGTTTCGGTTTATTCATTTTTTGTTGTGATCCTGAATTTCTTCTATCTGTTCCTTGTTAGGGATTGGGCACTCCAGATTCTCTGTTGCCTCCTTCTGGTATGTACATCATCAAGTCTAAAAATTGAAGCATTCAAGTTATTGCTTTAACAAGGTAACAATGTATGGTATCTAATTTCTGTTGGTTCTATTGATCAGAGCCTCCCAACATCAAGAATTGGTTCTCAAGCTATGAATACGAATCTCTTGTGTTGGAAACCAATGATAATTTTGGATTTTCCGATCATCAAGAAAGCCAAGGTTACAGGGAGGAGTCCAGTGTGGTGGAAAATTCAAGGGAGTTCATCAGAGGTGGGGAAAATGATGGCATGATGAAAAAGAAAAGCATATCAAGTATGCTGATCAAATGCAACCAATCTGAGGAAGATAACAAGTGTGATAATCATTGTCTCAACCAGGTAGGATCATTGATTTTCATTTTCTCAATTAATTTTAAGGACTTGTTTCATAAGTAAAGATGTTTAGGAGTATTAACATCATTTTTATGAAATTCAATCAAGTTAAAGTATTTGACTTGTGCTCATTGAAGGATCAGGATGGATGAATTAACTGAATTTTCAAATTTCTCTATACTTTGTTAGGTTTCAGACTCGCCTGTGCTCTCCCCTGGTATGCATGACATGATATCCTCTGAAAATATGAAGTTTTATACTTTAATATTTATTTATTGCATGAATTTAACATTGGAATTTGTAGATGGTATATAGTATTCTGAAAGATGTAGTTTATTTGTGTGTTTATAAATTAAAACAGAAGCTCCTGGCATTGACAAGTGGTTCTCAAGCTATGCATATGAATCTCCACCATTGGATGATGTCATTCTTTGTGATGATGAAGAAAACACGATGGAGTGTTGTAATGGAAAGGTAAAGCAGATACTTATTGCAGCCTGCATGATGCTATGCATATCTTTTGTTTTAAGATTTTCAACTTGCAGAGGAAGGAAGGAGATGACTTGATTTGCAATCAAAACCTGGAAGGCCAAAGAGTAAAAGATTCAGTAACAAAAGAGAGCGCAATTGAAATAAAAGTGAAAGATGAAAATGTGGAGAATGGTTTTGTTTCAGTGAAACGCAAAAGAGAAGATGTCAGAACTGGTAAGAATGAGTTGAAAAGGACAGCTTCATCATCATCACCATTTGTTGGTAATGGTATTGGTAAGAACAAGATGAAGGATGAAAGAAAGACATTAGCAGATGTGACAAACATTGAAATAAGTGGAAAGTGGAAGTGTCCACGAAAGGGAAAACCAGAGATTGGTCCTCCATTAAAGCAGCTTCGACTTGAACAATGGTTTCATCATCATCATCATCATCATCATCATGTGTAACTCAATGTATGTATCATTTTCAACACCTTCTACTTTATATATATATATATATATATATATAGGTATATATATATATATGAACTTCAGCTAACCATTACAAAATGCAATTCATCTCAGTCCTTAGATATATTGCCATGTTTTAATCCCAAATGGAACTCAACTTTATATAACAATTAATGTAAGATGATCAATTCTAATTTTACATATATATTGATTATATATAATATACTAGAAGAGTACTCGCGCAATGCAGCGAGATACATCGTGTTTTTAATATTTCATTTTATTATTTATCTCAGTCGATGTTATAATATGACTTTATGTGATTTTGAGAAAGCGATGATGTTTTTATTTTTAAATAAAATACATGTTTGACGATATCATAAAAATTTGACAAAAATATATCGATATTAGTATCAAATTAACTATTTGAAATTCCTCATTTTT